AGTTTTAAAAAATACTTCAGAGTAAAACTTTCCCTATCTTCTAACAGCAGGGACATTTCTGCCCAACACTCAGTACCACTACTGCATTTTTCATTACTGCTAAAATCCCTTCAGCAATCTGGACAGAAGAAGGTTGGGGCACTGAGTCTAAGAAGGGCTGCACCTCATTAGCTGGCAGTGCCTTCCTGTGCCCTGCCCCAATCCCCTCTTGGAATTAACTCTCACTTGTCCAGAGCAGTATCTGACAACTGCAAGGCCTGTTCCTTGGACAACACAGGGAGGGTACAGGAGGGTTTCTGAAACCTTCTCCAAGGCACTCTGTTACAGGCTAACTCCTCTTCCACAAAGAAGGACATGCAGCCAGCAGGAGCACGTTTTACACAGCTTTCTGGTTTTCCCACTCACATTTCCTGTCACTGAGGTTCGCTCTGCCTTCTTCCAACAAATCACTCTTGTTCTCATACTACTCTCCAAGTTCTTTCATTCCCAACATAGGGGACAAGGGGATGATACAGTTCTTCATATTTCCAATATCCATTTTTCCTGCTGAACGATTCCTCACAACTTTTCTGTTTATGTTTCCTTTTTAAACCCTCTGTAGCCCTGCACAAAAACATGGGACATTGCCTGTGCCTCTGCCTGACCACTGCACTGCGAATTTCCAACTGAACACAGAATAGGAAAAAGAATCATTAATTTAGAAAAAGATATCTGAGCTTATTCACCGCTCCCATATCCCTGAAATTCTGACTCTGAGCACATAATGTACTAATTTGCACAACAAATCTCATCAGCAGAGTATTGATTCTTTGTGTAAGTGAAATCCCTGATGACTTCAGTCCTCCAAAGTCATTTGAGCTCTGTCCACTGGTTTCCAGACAAGTTTGGGACCAGCCTCTCACAGAGGAAGTATAAAGGCCTACAAATGGTTTTAGGTGGTGTTTTCTCAAATCAAGAAAAAGTTCTTAGTAATTAACACTATGAAGACAAGAGAAAAGCAAATGGCTTCCATGTTTATATCCTGGTGCATATCTTCTGAGATTTTGATATTTCTTTAATTTATCTCTGCTACATCTGCTTGCAATTTTATCAACCAAAACATAGCAAGACTGACAGTTTTCTCTTTAAGATGGTGAACTGAGGGAATACAGACACAAAGAATTGCTAGTTCCTTCCACATTTTATGCTAATAAAGTTGACTGAAGCCATCATGTAATACAATTATCTGAGGAGGCACTGTGAAAACTTAAGTGATCTTCAATTTTTGTAAAAAGCATTGCTGCTGTTTTGATGCGAATTACGCTACAATACTGCACAGACAACTCATCACATACTATAATTGCATTTAAACCTACTTTATTTTCCTCTGTATCTGGGGGGGAGAAGCGAGCATCAGAGCAATCAGCCACATGCTGCAGGTATGCACCCTGTGAACTATTACTACACAGGTTTTTGTCTTATCACAACCTTTCAAAACATTGCAAGTCCACACCCTTCATGCTACTCAGAGCACTTTCCCCCCTCCCCAGTGAAGAGTCACCTGTGAATTCGGTACAGAACTCAGGTTCCAGACTCAGCTGGTGACTCACAGGAGAGCTCCACAAAGGCAAATCACTTTCACTGAAACAACAGGTGTCACTGCAGAAATTCTGAGGCAGTAACACACCCCACCTTCAGTAAGGATTTGGTGTGGCTCCTCCTTTCACTGTGCCTATACAATCTGGGAATATTATCACAACCATGGAGTTTATTTTCCTACTCTAATACTTGTTTTGAATTTTGCTAACCCGACTATCACAAAACAGTAGCAATCCTGACTGAAATGCCCAGAGCTCAAATGAAATGGGGCAGCAACTACAAGGCACCTGTCAGAAAAATGGCAAGAAATCAAACTATCTGGATTATAAACCTGGAACAGAATGGCCATATTTCTCACACCATTTGTGCACAGCTTAAACAACTGAGTCATAACCAGAAACCCGTGCATCTTATCACTACCACAACATGAAGTTCTTCTCAACATATCAAATACACAACAACCTGAAGTGCTTCACCGCCGTGAACCTAAAACAATGGAACTCAAAGTATATAGTGAAGACTAGTAGAATAATTGCTTTGTTTTGCTTTGGGGAGGGATGGGAAATGGACATCAAATACACCTAATATGCTTTGTAAACATACCCAGTGAGGTGCTGGGAAGCCAACTCACAATGAAGACTATCCTGGGAAGTTGGCAGCTTGTCCCCCAGTTGATTGCCTGGTCAGTGCTGGGCCAGCTACTTGTTTTATCAAACTAAACCTCCTGGGATTTACACACCCTGAGTACCAGGTACTGCACAGATGTTGCTGGGCTGAATCCCTCACAAAATAGCTATTCCACAGATCTTCTCAATAAGAGCATTCTGAAAGCTAAAATCATGTTTTCTGTAAAAGGAAGAAAAATTAGGTGACTATTTCAACTTTTTACCCAATTCCAAGGATCACCTACTGTACTCTCCATACTATTGTTAAAGGACATCATACAGCCAGTTAAGTTTTACATTCATTGTCAGTTTTAAACGTTTTTAAGTACAAGTCAAACTACTTTCTGCCTGAGAGTAGCAAGCTCTCAACAGACTTCACAGCAGAAAGCAATCCCATTTTCCCTTTAAAGCAACCACCATCGTGGAAGGCACAGAAGACATCATGGCAACTGGGAACCATCAGCACAAGTGTGGTGGGGCAACTGCAGAGGGTTCTGCAGATCTTGCCCAAGAAAAAAGTGGAACCCCTGAGACAGCAGCAGTGAAAGGAAAAACCCTGTTGTGAGGCACAGTCTGTGCCCACCCCCAAGTCCTGCACTGGGGGAACATGAAACAAAGGAAGCAAATGAAACAAGGCTCCAAGTATTCCATCTGTACCCACACAGGACTCTGATGTCACATGCTTTTAAATTACTGAGTTCCTTCTATCATTTATTTACAGACGACAATAAGATAAGATATCTTACAGTACGATAAGAAACAGAAGTGAAGAAATCCCAGGAACTGAAAATATGCCCTCTTTTTACTGAGGAACCAAGAAATACCTGATGCTTTCCCAGATATCCAGAGAGAAAGGACAGATCTTCAACGGATGCTTGACATAAGCAGGGAGAAACAAACACTTGTAAAACTTTCCCTGGTCTCACTCACCCATCCACTTTTCAGCAATTTACCAAAGAAGTTACTGTGTTAGACCTTCACCTGCCCTTGGAAAGAGGTACTGTTCTCAGCATAAAAGTTACCAGCCACAATGGTCAACAAGACAGAAAAGGAGGGAATCTTTTCCTTTGGTTTGCTTGCTTTTAAGGGCTTTGAGGGAGGTGGGTGTGTTTCTCTTGGAAAACCTGGCTATGGCAAAATCAGTGCAAGCACTGATATCTGTTCTTTGGTCCCTTCTGTGAAGGGGATGTGCTCAGATCCTCCTATCTACATCTTTGTGCCACACCACACCTTGGAAGTTCTCTTTAAGAGAGATTCCATTAATTTAGACATATTAAGGATCACTGTTTTCACAACCATTTTTTTGTTTTTAAATACTTAGAGACATGGTTTAGTGATGGACTTGGCAGTGATGGGTTAATGGCTGGACTCAATAATCTTAGAGGTCTTTTCCAACCCAAATGATTTTGTGATTCTATGAAGATACCCTGAACTGACTTTTTGTTGTAAAAATATAAGTTAATAAACACGTAACAAGTAGTTTCCTACTTTTTTCATATTCCATAACCACAGAATATGTATATTGCTTCTTGAACAAATCCAGTATTAGCAATTCACAATTCTAAACCCAAGGAAAATAAATAATTTTTTTTTTTAAATCATCTATTATCTGCCTGCCTTTCAGGACTCTGGGAAGCAGACAAAGCTATTCATTGCTTCTTCGAAATCTTTTCCCCTTTGCAGTGCAATACTCCATGGCATTTCACTCCAGAGTAATGCTTATCCATTGCAAACATATGTCCATTTTGGAAGAAGTTAGCAGGCATTGTTTACTGCACATCTGAACAAGCACCATATTTGATCCCAAACCAAAAATTTGTTAGCCCTGACTTGGAGTAGCTCGATAAATACAACTACTATAAAACCAAAGTTATTACTTCGGTTATATCACTTACAGTTTAAATCCTTAATTCCTAAGTGCTGGTATCCAAATAAAGCCCATGTACCACTCACACACTCTGCCATAGTCAGTATTTTTGATTCTCGTAACAAAGCACACAGTTTTCACTGTGAGGATCTTGCACAGCAGTGTCCAAAACATGAGGATTTGGGACCCATGCAATGACTTTAAAGAAATTCCGTGCTCCAGCTCTATAGTGTTTCACTAAACACATATTTGCTAAACGAATTCCCAGTAACGTGCTATTTCAGGATTGCAATTTACCAACAGCTTTCTGCTCTACCTTGAACAGGGGCTCAAGCAGGTAACGTGCAGAGCTCGCTTTCAAACCTAAATTACTTCACAATTGAGGGAACAAAAATAATTCAGCCACACATCCAGCCACACACATTCATTGTCCCTGGGACAGAGCAGCCAGCAGGGCATTCTGAGGACTGAGTTGAATCATTTCCAACCAGAACTCAAAGCCTACCAGGTTGTATGTCTCTATGTAAATAAATATAAAATACACGTACATACACACTCTCTCCCCAAAACGTGGTGCATAACCTAAGAAAAACTTACAAAAGGAACTAAAGTACAAGAACAAAAGACCAATACGTTGCCAGCAAGAGTCCAGAGTGCTACAAATGCCACAATATGGGGTATTTCTGGCTATGGACTGGACAAAGTCTCTGAATGTACCTCGTCTCATGTGAGCCTTTCATTCCGGGACTGGGTTCTACTACAAACCAGGCAAGCCTTGCAATTCAGGCAAGTCTTCCTTGCCTACAAAAGCAGCTTCCCTATCCCTGCAGGTAACAGGCCTGAACAATCCCTAGCGCACTAACTTGATAAAAGAACGCAAAGATAATTACCTGTAAGCAGAGAACAAAATATGTAAATTCGGAGGGAATCAATTTACACTGGGAAGAATCATCACACTACTTTTGACACAAAGTAACAGGCGACTGCTGAAAGGAAATACCACAACTTACTGCCATTCCCTGCTGCTGAATTCACTCTTAATTTTACCAAAACAACATCAGAGGGTGGTTGATTGAAAGGTGGTAAAAAGCCATTCATGCTTTTGAACCCCGTTCAATAGATTTTGTAATCAGTTATGAAAACAGCGTTGTTAGCCGGTCCTCAACAGCACCATCTTTCACTACCAAGGTACGGGCGAGAATTAGGGGTTATTATTTCTTCAGACGGCTTTTTGTTACACGCCGGTAAAACCCGACTGGGAAAGCAGGCGCCCGGCTCTGCTCAAGGCTCGCACAAAAGGGAGGCGAAGCACCTCGTTGCTCGTACCCTTCCCACGCCGCCCGGTCCGGCCGGGGCCGCTCGGCAGCGGGCCCGGGATTACAACACCGGGAAGGGAGGGGGAAGCGGGGAAGGAGCGCCGGGCCGGGGAGCGCCGCGCCGGCCCTGCCCACGCAGGACCCGCCGGGCCCGCGGCGCCCCGGCCCGGCCCGGCCCGACCCCCGCCCGCGGCCCCGCGGCGCGGCCGCAGCGCCCCAGCGCGGCCGGGACGAAGGGCGGGAAGGCCGGCGGGGCGGGAAGGGCCGGGGGCACCCCCGGGGCCGGGGGAGCCAGGCCGGGGCGGCGCCACCGCCGCGGGGACCCGCGTTCGACGGCGCAGCCCCGCGGGCACGGCCCGGGCAGGGCCGGGGCAGCGCCGCGCAGGGAGCGCCGCGCCCCCCGGCGGCACACGGAGCGGGCGCGGCGCGCCCGGGCGCCCGGCGCTTCCCGCCCGGGCGAGGCCTCCGCGGCCCGGCCCGCACTCACCGGCCGTGGGGGCTCCTCATCCTCGGCGCGGGCAGGGAAGAAGAACGGGGAGGGGGGCCCGCGCCCGCCGCGCTCCGCGGGCCGTTCCCGGGCCCCGACGGCTGCGCTCGACGGGCGAAGGCGGGTGCGTGTCGGGCGGGGAGGAGGGCGCCGGGCCGGCGGCGCGGGCTCGGCGCAGGCTCCGTGTCCCGGCGGGCGCTCCCGGCGCGTCCCCGCGGGGCGGGGCGGAACGAGCCGGATCCAATCACGGCGGGCCGGGCGCGCGCGCGCGGGGCGCGCGGAGCGGGAGCGCGCCGTCCGTCAGCACGTGCCGGGCGGGAGCGCCGGGGCGGCTCCGCGGCGAGGGAGAGTTGGCCGGGAGGGACCGGCCGGGCTCGCTCTGCCTCCCCCCGGCCCCGTCTCCGAGCGCCCGGGCCCCGGCGTTATCCCTTCCCGCCGCCCAGCAGGGCTCTCCCGGGCAAGCAGCTCCTCTAGGGAAGGGCAGGAGGGTGTGAGAGCAGGACGCGGCCGGGTCGCTGTCGCGGAAGCGCTGTGGCCGAGAAGGGGATCGAGGCACGAGGAGCAGCCGCGGCTGGGTTTGGCTGCAGGGCCGGGGAGCTCCATCCAGATGCTGGTGGAGCTGGCGCCATGGAAAACGGGGCAGCTGCCAGGATTCCCGGAGTAGGTGGTGGTGGGGATTACCGGAGCAGCTTTGATGTGGGTTCAAGGGGGCCTGTGTGTGAGCTGCGGTGGGCGAGGAGCAGGACGCGGTGGCAGCAGCGTAGGGAAAAATGAGGGACTCCAATGGGCCCTTTGGCTTCGCGGAAAACCAGTTCTGAGAAGGTTGACGTGTCGGTGCTGCACGAGGGATATAGTTCCATGGCAGAGGACAGGATTGTTTGTTTGCTTTTTCCATTTCCTGTGTCTCTGAATAAATAAGCCCAGTTAGTTTGGAATACATTATAACTTCTGCAATGAGCTGCTCTGCTCGCTGATAAGGATGCTGAAGGCCATGATTTGCATTGCAGTTCCCAGCTCCTTATCATTAGGACAAATGGGAAAAGTAATAATTTGTCTGTCTGTCTTCAGGTGAGGTCTCCCAGCAGCAGCAGTGCAGAAAGAGCTTCAGTGACAGCAGTGTTGTCAACATGAGACCCCACAGCTCCCACCTGGGCTGCTGGTTTCAGTCCTTCACTCAACAGAGTGACAGCAGTTGTGCTGCTGACATTGTCTGGCCTTTCCCTTGTCCTGTCACCTGGTTACTCTGCTTCAAGAACTTTGCACGTGTAGGGTTAAATGAAGATCATATGGATCATACAGACCGACTCGGGTTTCCCTTTGCTGCAGACCAAAACACCCTTTAGGCCTCCAGGACACACCAGGAATTGCTCATGTTGAGATGCCTGCCCAGATAAACTGTTTCCATAGAATAACCAGTTGGGAAGCAATCTGGCTTATCGGTGCCAAATAGCCACATGTGCATTATATTGTGGGAAACATGGGCTTGCTTATTTTGTTGAGCTCTCCACAGTCTAGCTCCATTTTTGCATGCTAATATCAGATAGGACTTGTAAATGTTGTGCACTCCACTCCTGAATGTCAGATGAGAATGCTGGCTCTGCAGTCTGGTTCACGTGTTGTACCCACACATCGTTTGGTGAGTGCTTAGCTTGTGTGCTCCCTATACAGCAAAACAAAAGAGGAAGTATAATTTCAAACCTATCAACTTCACAGACTCCTTTAAAATGTAGGCAGGCCTTTAAAAAACAAAGGCACACCTAGTAATTGTATGTGGCCAGATACTATGGTGATAGGCATTTAAAAATGCAGCTCCTGTCTTACCAGACTTATAGAAAATTTTTTCCGATCACCATCATCCAGAAAAATCTGTCAGTGTCCAAAACAAAGCCAGCCAGCAAGAAAGACAAAATCACGGCTTCCATGCCAAGCAATACAGAACTCCTATGCTTATGTTTATAATTTCAAAGGAAAATATGAGTCTGCTGTTCTTCCACTCTGTCTACTATCAGATTATAGCAGCAGAATAGACACTCAATATGGAAGAAGAATGCAACATGCGTGTGTGTGCTCCCAACCAGAACCAGAGCTGTTCATGCCAGCATCTCTTCAGTAATACTATGTGCTAACACAGCCCTGTGCTTTTCAGATGTTAGATATGGAGTTCAATCCAGTATGCATGAATTTAGCAAAGGCCACTTGCCTTGAAATGCTTTTAATCTGTTTTGTGAAATGGATCGACTCTTTTCATCCAGTTCCTGGTGTGGAGATTTGCACATTGCAGAAATTGCCATCCCAGCTGATACTTTTCAAGGCACTCGGGTGCTCAAGATACCCACAAGTGATAGTCCCTGTCAGGTCAGAAACTGTTGCTGAGAATGAAGTTTATATTGCTATGGCAAATAATGCCCATTAAGGAGCACCATGTAACTCCTTGTCTTAATCACAAAATAAAGTCTGCAAAAGTAAACTACATTAGGATAATATTAGGGCTGCAGGAGAATGAACTGAATCTAAAATACTGAGTCACAGCCATGTTAAAAAGTATTTAGATTGTGATGGATGTCTGATGAAACATTACATAGAAGGTACTGGTGTCCTTCAAAACAGTGCAGTACTTAAAATATGTTTCCAATATCTCTACCAGGATAGGAAATATGCCTATTAAACCAGCAAACAAACACTTTAGTTGATAGGCTCTCAGAAAGGCACAGGGTTCCACTCAGCTAGTTATCAGTAACAGAATCTTACCTGGTGAAGATTTTAGGAATCTGCAAAAAGTCAGACACAGCAGGTTTTGGTAACATCAAGTATTTATTTTATGAATTGAGCCGCACTCAAAAGACACTGAAGTCTGAAAATCTGAAAATAAACATATGTTCATTTGGCAAGGATGGGATGTGGAAATCTAACATGAGATATAAAAAAAGCAGTTCAAGACTGACTGTCATGAGGAAGAGAGTTGTATTTAAAAAAAATAAATCAAGAATTGGATAATCTTCCAATTATGTCCTCTCCAGGAATTTCTCATTAGTTCTTGGAATCACTTGGGAACTACAGACTTGAATATCAAAAGAACAAAGAGGTATATATTATAGGGAGAAGGTCAGCCATGTGATAGGACTTTATCTGTGTAGATCCTTCTTCTCTTCAGTCTCTGGAATTCATATGTCTTAAATCTGTGTCCAAATATATTTTTGAAAACTGTTAGCAATTAGATGAGTATTTCTCTGTTACTGTTACCAAAATAAATATTCCATGTTACATATTAAAAGAATATTGACCTTCAGCCAGGGACACAATTATTACACTTAAAATGACATGAATTTGGCTTTGTCTCTTTTTCAGATTTATTTTACTTGAAAGCATATTCTTTTCATTCTAAATTTATTCAGCTGTTTGTTACTTAGAAATGTCATGGATTTTATTAAGTGTTTTAAATTTAAGCACAATTAATTCAATAAGACAGAATCAAATCTGTGAAGAAAGGTGTTTTTTTTAAAGAATTCTGCTGGTGAAGCACTGGTTGTAAAAAGTCAAGCCCTGGCCAACCTTCGGTCCCCCCAGTGTGATGTGGAGCTGGGCACAGTGCAGCACTGGAGAGCCCCGTGGCAAGAATCCAAAGAATAACAGCTCAATGTGCAGAGCATGGGCACGAGGAAACAGGAAACTCTTGGTGTGTTTTGGGGTTGCTTGGGCTCCTGCCTTGTGCAGGTGGCTGGGGAGGAAGGAGGACAAATGGCTGTACCTGTCCCTGCCTCAGGCAGCTGCTGCAGGGGGGAAAGGATTCCTTAGGAGCTGTGTGGGGGGGAACTCCACTGCACCTTGCAGAGGGCTGCAGGAATGGGAGCACTTTGCTCCAGGAGACATTTTGCCAGTCAAGAACCAAAGTTCCTGCTGCTTTTTCTGTTTCTTCTTCCTGTGCCCAGTGAAGCTGGTTTAGTTTGGTTTTATGGATTCCCAGGTACAAAAGCCATATTGTAGTCTTTTCACCAGACCATAATAAACCCTGAGATAACTTATAAATACAAAGAAACACCTCAAATTATTTTGTTTTTTTTTCTTAAAGTCAGTGTTGGGTAGTAAGAACATTAAAAGTTTAATCACAGAAAAAGAAAATATTTGTAGGCTCAGCAGAGGCTTCACCAGGGTGCCAAACTCACATCAGTTTGTTTGGAGAATTAGTAATATGTTTTCCCCTAGATGCATGCACATAAAATCCCAAAAGTGTTCCTTTTCTCAGAGAAGATTAAGTATTTAGAGTTAGATTGTAGAGCTGATTTTAAAATTTATGTTCTGAATTATCAGTCAGCAGTGCCAAATGGTTTAAGTACACTCAGAGAGAAGCTAATAACTAAGCTATGTTTGTGTTCCTCCACCTTTTAAGAGGTATTTGTTAGTTTCTTTTAAGAATTTGAATAATCCTTAGCTCCAAGTCCACACTGTATTAACAGTTCCTCTGCTGATGCTCAGGCTTTGTCCTGAAACTGAACCAGTGCTGAAAGCAGAAATATTGTTTAAACCTGCTGTTAGACAAGGGGAATTCTTTTCAATACAGAAAATTTCTGTCTTGTTGTTTATAACAACTTTGTCCTCAGGAGGCATGGATTCAGGTGGATGTGTTTCTGGCACCTGTAGTGGTGGATACTGTAGAGATTTACAAGATGGACATTTATAAGGCTGGAAATGCTATGTTCTTCCAAGCTTGTTAGAATGAAACAGATCTGAATTCTTTACAAAACAAATGAACTAAATAATTTCATCATATCCTTTTTTTTTCTCATTCTGATCCTATCTTTAAACATGAATGCACTGCTGTGAAGTAAGAACAAATGCAGCAAAATACTCTCCTGGTTTTTTTCATATTCTAGCAAAACTAAGATAACATAGATCTACTAAATAATAAAAGGATATACTTGTATTTCAGTCACAGCAGTCAGCTAAAATGCCTGAAAATATAAAATGAAGTTAAAGGCATAGACATGAAGGTTTTCTCTTTTAGTCTGTAAGATACTTGAATAT